ATACCAAACATCCATTTAAGATTCATTCTCACAAGAGAAAATTTAAAATAGAGTCCAAATTGTTATTAATTTGAAAAGTTCTAATTTCCTGTAATGTTCCATAGATTTTCGCATAAACATCTAACCCTATCATGCTTTCAGTATACTGGCCTTGGTAACGTCGCGTCGTCTCTCAAATCTCACTATATTTTGATGAAAGCGTGCCCCTTGTTCTTGCGAATAAGCCCCCATAATTATTTATAAATATATCCCAATGAGAATGGGACATGCATCTTTAGAGACATTCTACTATGAAGATGGAAAATTCAAATCGCTATAACTTCTTAAAAAGCAAATATTTTCGATTTGTAATCGCACTTTTTTATACAGGGTGTCCCGTAATGTAACGTCAAGCCGGAACTGGGTGTTGAGGCAAGTTGTGCTGGTTATCAGAAAAGTATAAAAAAAAATCTATGTGGCATATTTTAAAAATAATAGGCATTTAAAAAAAATCAAAAAATTCTACTCCAGGTGATGACGGTCCTTTTGCTCGTGTTGCCACAAATCTTCACTTTTTCCAAAAATTTTTTTTTGTTATGTAACCCTGAATAATGCTTCTCTAAATTGTTATCAAAATTACAAAACCAGCTGCTCCAGCTTGGATGAAAAAAATACATTATTCTCCAAAAAAATTCAAAATAAAATTTTTGCCTAGTTTAAACTGACTGTACTGAAAAAAAAATGTACTACGCGAGTGTGGCAAGTGACGTCATAAATTGGCGCATTTAGTAAGGATTCCAAAATGGCATAACACTTGGTAAATTTTTGCTGTAATTGTCGACAATTTTTGGTTTTTTGGAAATAGTCCCGTTTTTAACTTTATTTGACCTTGGTTAAAAATTATTATTCTAATGTGCCCAAAATTCAAGTTTTTGTGACTGACTACCGTACAGTCAGTCACAGAAACTTTTGTCACCATGACAGTAATTAGTAGTTGGCATACTGTGACAAAAGTCACCCGTGCGCGCGCGCCTTTACTACCTGCTCTGCCTGCACTTGTGCAGGGATAATAAGGATATGAAGTTTCGGTTATGGATACGGTTACGGACATTAGAATCATATTATACCGGTTTCGGTTACGGTCACGGATATGAAATCATTTCAGATTATCCGAAAGTCTCGGATAATTTCGGTTACGGAATTATTAGAATTTCAAAAATGTAGGTATAATTAGAGATGGGTAGTGGGTAAAAACCCATTTCACCCGATTGGGTTAAAACTGGGTGATTTGGGTAAAAACCCGGTTTTTACCCATTATCACCCATTCTGGTGGGTGAAAACAAAAATAGCGTTTTTTTTAAGTGAGAAGTGGTATTTGTTGCNAGACAAAATGAGATCAGAAACAAGTATTTTTTTGATAAAATTTGTTACAGCAAATATAAAAGCTTACTAAATGTTCGTACCACACGTATTACAAAAAATGGTTAAATGAAGACTTGCCGTTCTATATAAAATCGCTGATTTTACTGCTTGTTACGAAAAAGTAATCCCACAAAACACACACGTTTTCACTAATTTTCGCGATAGATGTTATGGCGGAGACGTCAGGCCAACAGCCATTCAGAGTGCAGCTGTTGTTGTCCGTGTAAAATAAATACGGAATTGTTCAGAAACCATGGGAAAGTAGAAATAAATCGTAACTAAAGAGTAAATAACGAAATAGTTAATGAGAGCGACTCATTTTGTTTTTTTGCTTTAAATTGCCAATTCATTGTGACACCCCATAGAAAATCAATTTGATACAGAAACAGCGATTACTGTAGAACGATAATACAAAGAAAAGACAATGCCGGAAATTAGCGTCTTTTTTTTTTTCGCGCGGCCATCGACCAATCCTTATTTTTTGATTACAAAATAGTCTAATAAACCAAACTTACTATGACATGTGTAGGTACCTACCTCTAAACTCAGTCTGAACTGAGTTACGAGCATTATTAGTTTGATGATTTTCATACTAGATTTGCTTTTTGCGCGCAAGTTTTGTAAGAAATTGCAACAAAATAGTGACACTGTATGTGTAAACAAACAATACCATCCATTAAAGGCCCCAGACATCAGTATGCAGCAGAATCAGCGCAATAAAAAAATAGCGCAATATTTTGTTGCAATTTCCTACAAAAATTGCGCGCAAAAAGCAAATCTAGTATGAAAATCATCAAACTTCTAATGCTCGTAACTCAGTTCAGACTGAGTTTAGAGGTATNGCCAAAATTTAAGTTTCTGGCTTAAGTGAGGTGGAGAAGCCATTTTAAAAGGTATGAGCGGGACGGAGAGGGCCATCTTACCAAGCAGGGATGTTATGGATATCCGTAACCGTAACCGAAACTTTCGGATATCCGAAATAAAAAACTATCCGAAACCGTAACCGAAACTGATTCAAAAGTTACGGATAGTTTCGGATAAAGGCCAAACTGCAAAACTCTATGAAATTTGCAGTATACACGCCGCAGCTGCAATGCCGCGCTGCCGATTTCATAGTTTTGCAGTTTGCGGTCTGCGGCCCGTCTTGGAATTGTATCTTAAATCTTAATATTTGTTACCAACTTGTCTGGCATTCGCTGGCACCATCTAATATGCCAGCCTGTTTTACCTTTATCATACATAGGTGTCGTCTTAGTTGGTACATAAAGTAGCTATGTGGGTCACGCTCACGCAGCATCTTGCTATTTGTATTATACCTAGAGATGGGTTTCCACCCGGGTAAAAACCTACATGAGGGTAAAAACCCAATAAAAACCCGTTTCATTCCACCCGTGGGTGTTTACACCGGGTGAAAACAAATAATTTTATAATTATTTCAATTGGTATCTTTTCTTTATTTTTATTGATTTTTTCTCATTTAAGTTTATTGATTAATAAGTAATAAGTCAAATTTAACACTAATATGCATTTATGAGTATTTCTCAAAAAAAATGTACATTTTGAAAAAAAAAGTGAGCTTTGAAACAGTTCAAAAGTTTTATATTTATAAATCATCACACAAAAAAAACACACACACACAATTTTGAAGGATGAGTATTAATCTTTAAGATAACGAAGAATTATAGCTATAATCCTACTTATTACCAAATATTTAGATATTTTAAAAATAGTCCTTTTTTACCTTTCATACAAAAACCTGTTTGCCACCCTAGCTTTTTCATGTATTTTTGTTTCATAAAATGCGATACGTAACTAAATTATTGTAAATGGCAATGCCAGATTTTGTATGGAAGGTGGCGTCTTTTTTTTTTTCGCGCGGCCATCGACCAAACTTTGTTTTTTGATTACAAAATAGTGTAATAAACCAAACTTACTATGACATGTATACCTCTAAACTCAGTCTGAACTGAGTTACGAGCATTAGAAGTTTGATGATTTTCATACTAGATTTGCTTTTTGCGCGCAATTTTTGTAGGAAATTGCAACAAAATATTGCGCTATTTTTTTATTGCGCTGATTCTGCTGCATACTGATGTCTGGGGCCTTTAATGNAATTCATGAAAGACGTGTGGAACGGGTAGAAAGTAATTTTGGCAGTCATTTTCTTCGAAGTTGATATCAATACTACTTAGTGCCTTTGATTTAATAACTTTTTATTTTTACAAGTGTTTGAAAACTCCATTTCAGATTGTGTTCAATGTCAAGTGAAATCTCAAATTGAAATGTCTCAATCTCAATGAGGAGACTCTGTATTTATTCCTAGAATTCCCCAAACACCGTCAAATTACCCTTTCTAATTCAAGACAGTGCAGTTTCCCATCAGTCTGCTTCGTAATGACTATAAACAAAGCTCAAAGTCAAACTCTAGGGACCTCTGCTTAAACTCCCAGAGGTACGCAGGTAACCGCGTGTGATGCTTATAGCAATTTTCGATAGGTACAGAACCCCGTACATACGTCATACATATTATAGAAAGAAAACACCCAGACCAATACAAACAAATATGTTTCTGCAATTTTAGCTATATAATGTTATTAACCACATGCAAAGCTTCGTGAATTGCAACAACTATAATTAAATTTATTATCCAAGCTCTAAATAATCGCTACTAAGAGTAACTTATCATAAAAAAAAAATTCCAATCGCTCAAGCTCCCAAGGGCCTACCGATAGGTCAGGTGACGTAATCTTGAAATTCTTTAAGCCGGCGCAGAACTTCCAGAAGGTCGGGCGACGCCACGGCCACTTTGAACGGTAGGTTTTTATCACTACCTCCGTGATCTTATTTCTTTGCTTTTGTAAGTTTAGAAGCCAAATATTAACAAAAACTGTTGGGATTGTAAACGCAAGGTTTTCATAATGAACTCATATTTTTGAGACAAAAAAGCTCTTTAAAAATTAATTTAAAAGACACAAACTGTTAATTTCAAGGTCTAGTAGCTGATTACTAAATTGTTGTAACTACAACTACACTAATACATGAGTAGAAAATAAAACTTAGTGGGTATAATCAAATTAATATAAGTTTAGGGAGGGTCGTTTAATTTTTTTCATTGATTTCTTGTGTCTCGTTTATCTCAAGAACCAGAGTCAATCCAAAGAAAGTAAATGCACACCATTTATGTCTAATACAAGTGTTTACAAAATCCATTAACAAAATAGATGCCGCAGATTTTTTTATTTTTTTTGTTCCGCAGTGTAATCAGAATATAATAAGACGTTCGTGGTAAAATCGTTCGTTCCATGCGCAAAAAAAACTTTTTTTTTGTTGACTGGTGTAATCATATTAATCATTCTTTAGCTTAATAAAGGATGCTGGGTGTGTGTGTGTGAGGACTTAATATAAAAAGAAGGGGTTAAATGACCTTTGGAAAAATTAAAAAAGTAGATTGGCGTGAAGAGTTTTATTTTTTGGCCCATTTTATCAACAATATATTTTTCAAAGATTAAAACAAGATAAATAAATAAATAAAATATGACACTGCCAAAATGGTAAGACATCCAGTAATGAGTACTTATCTAATAATAATAATTTATACCTTTGTTTGTAAACTTCAAGAGCATGATTTTTATTGAATTTGAACAACTTTATAAAATCTATCTGATATGCCTTTGTGCCTTACGTCTGTTAAGATGAGACAAGTACATACTCGTTTAATATTGTGGTGACGCAGTATTTTCATAACTTGTAAAATCATGTCCAGAATAATAATCCAATTTAAACTATTAACAAATCGTGCTGTTTTTTTTTAAACCGTAATTACTAAGCACGATGAACACATTATTTGTAAACGTGTTAAAGCACTCACACATTCTCATTTTCTATAGCAACACCAAAACATACCTCAACAAATTTCATCTCATCAGAACAGTTTTTAAGGCTTCTCTCTCTTATCTTACAAATTATAATGAATGAATATCACAGATCTGCCTAAAATAACAATATTCATTTTCTCCATGAAAATTGATACTCCAATCAGTCTATTTCAATGTTTATCATATTGCTTAGGTACTCTTCTGAAAGTAAGCAAAACTTTAAATGCTTAGTTGGTTCAAACATGTTTAGAGAACTAATTTCTGCAATAAAATTGAACCAAAATATGTATCCCTGAGCTGGACAACTACTATTACAAATAATAGGCAGTGTTCATTTTAGAAAACCAAGTTCGAGTCATTTAGTGCAAATTGAATGTAGTAAACGAATTTTTAACTTAGGTATTGTTATAAACTGACCACAACTCTTCACTTGAAATCCCAAATGTTTTAACCCCAGAGAGCGAAAATGGTTTTTGAGTAATTGAAACATAAATGCTCTCTAAACTAAATACCCCTCAGACAAAGTAATGAACCGTATCTACAAGCCGTAATAGAACAGCGCATTCCCTTGCCTCGTTATCAGTCACAGCTACATAAAGGTGAAAAAAAGTTAAGGAATACAATCCAGTTTGATGATGAGGCAGGCAAACCACTTAAAAATTTGATATCTGGAGAGTTGCATGTTGCAAGGAAGAAAAATTAACTATAAAATATATCTTTTCTTTCATAGTTAATAAGTGTTGCCTGCCAAACCTTGTTTAAATTTTTTAATGCTGTGACTGTTACCGCTTTGTTTTCAACAATAAATCGAATTAAATACTGGAAATTGGTTATGTAAATGAGTATACATAGGAGACTGAAATTAATGATTTAAAAATTTTCATACATCAATTGATTTTCAAAGACTGCATTATGAGCTGTTTATGAAGCTCAACAGTCCCTTGTATGGAAACTCGTTGTACATAACCATTACAAGAAGACGGCTTGACTTTAATAAGACACTGTTCCAAGCGGGCAAAAACAGTGCCTGTGATGCTGATTTTAGATACATTTGGTCGAATTAATTTGATTGAGCTAGTCTCTAACCTGCCCATATCACAGAATGAATATATTGTCATTTACTGTTGAAAAGAACAATGGTGCTAGCTCAAATTTCGAACATATGGGCAGGTGATCAAATTATCTGTTGAAAGTCTACCACAATTTATGTTAAGATTATGACAAATCTAGATAGACTCTCACAGTTGGTACTCAGATAAATATTTTACGTTTTTAACAATGAAGGCATCTACGCACGTAATCCAATATGGACGATGTACGCAAATAAACCTTTTTATTTCAAGTTATTTACAATTTATAAAATAACCGTTGAGGTTTAAAGTCTTATTTTCACTATTTACACTTGAATGTTTTTTTTTCAAATTCATTACACTAGATAAGTTTTTTGTTTTTGTGTTTTCAATGTAAATTCCTTTCACCAGTCAGCAAGTCCAGATTGAAGAGTGGCGCGAGACGGCGCGCGCGGCGGCCGCTACGGCGGCGACGGCGTCGGCGGCGGCGGCACGGCGTTACTTGTCGGCCGCGTCGTCGTCGTCCGGCCGCGCCACGTACAGCGCGGGGTCGATGACCTTGGGGATGGGCTTGATCTCGGTGCCGAGCTCCTGCTCGATGCGGTGCAGGGCGAAGCGGTCCTCGTAGGTGATGAGGTTGATGGCGATGCCGAGGTGGCCGAAGCGGCCGGAGCGGCCGATGCGGTGCAGGTAGGTCTCGGCCATGCGCGGGAAGTCGAAGTTGATGACGACGTTGACGGCCTGCACGTCGATGCCGCGCGTGAACAGGTCGGAGCACACGAGGTTGCGGCAGAGGCCGGCGCGGAAGTCGTGGAACACGCGGTTGCGGTGCGCCTGCGCCATGCGCGCGTGGATGTAGTAGCAGCAGTAGCCCAGCTCCGTGATCTTCTTGGCCAGCAGCTCCACGCGCTGGGTCGAATTACAGAATATTATCGACTGGTTTATTTGTAACTGAAACAAAAGAAATGCGCATGTTATTGTTTTGCCGTGATCGTTAGCACAGGTGACACTATGGGGTGGTCTCGAGTTTGGTGCAGCAGCATTTTTTACTTACTTACTGATTAATTGGCTACTCCAGACTGTAATAATATGGAATTTACGTAATACCAATTGAGAATAAAATTAATTTACTTAGACAAAACTAGAAATTACAATAAAAATTACCTTTGAAAATAGTGTATTTAAGCAATGAACTTTCTGTCTCTCCTGAACAAATGCGTAGTACTGTGTGACTCCCTTCAGGGTCAATTCTTCCATGAGATTTATCTCGTAGGGTTCCCTCAGGTGCTTCTCCATAAACTGTTTTACACTCAATGGGAAAGTTGCAGAAAATAGCAAGATCTGGCGTTCTTTGGGTAATCTGAAATAAAAAGTAAAGACAGTTAGTACTCCAATAGTTAAAATTCAAGGGATAAAAGACTATTTTAAAATTATAAGAATTTTATTATTAAATTATTATTCTAATAATATTCTAATATTTGATAAACAAGTCAATCACATTAAAGGTCATAATGAGGTTACAATTATTTAGGACATAAGATAATAATCCTGACCACAAATGTGCTATGAATGAGACGAAATGAAAAAAAGTAAGAAAATTTTACATACCGTGAAATAACCATGTCCAACATGCCTTTGAAATCTTGGGATAAGAGCTTATCTGCCTCATCTAGTACCAGCATTCTGCACTGGTCCATCTTGGCCACTTGTTTATCCATGAGATCAATCATACGACCTGGCGTAGCAATTATAACTTGAACTGTAACAAAAAAAACATACAGTGAAAAATGTGCCAATTCTCTAAATGTGTATCAAACACAGTCAATTTGGTAATACTGAACTACAATAATTTGTAAGAGGTGGTATTATTAAAAACCTTGGTTGGTGCTTTTAAAAGTCCCCCATGGTATTTCATGTCATGTCAAACTGGTTGGTAATAATAAGTTCTTAGTCCAACTATTATAATATGCAGCTGGCCTTGAACAAAACTAAATACAAAAAGAGTATTGTTGATTATTGTTTTCTATTTTTAACTCTCAGTATCAACATTTAACTACTACAACTGGCTTCTTTAGTAAAGCAAAAAATATTGAGTATCAGATATCAATAAGAGGGTAGGTAACATTACATAACAATAACAAGTTGGAAGATAAAAGGCATATCATGGATGATAATGCATTGTGTCGCACCATAATAATTATTAAGATAATACATTATTAAAGGCAGAGACAAAAACAAATTACTTAATGCAAAAATTAACAAGTACTAAAAAATTTGACATTACCCCAAATTTTCTATATCTATCTACAGTGTCTAAACATACAATCAATATTGTAAGATGTATCTTGTTACTGTTAAAGTAAAGTAAAATGTGGACAATCATCAACAATATGCAAAGCTTATTTGGTACATAGACAGCAAGCTAAACACTATGGGAATCATAATACAGTTGTAAGAATGAATTTTGAGGCTAGAATTTATAGTCTGATGTACTGTAGACTACATTACTTTGTAAAAACTTGTATTGTGAGAAATAATATTCGTTCAATCAATAAATTGGAGAACAAAACCAGTTTATAAACTTAAATACTAGTAATAGTGATTATAGAATAGTAGAAATGTTAATAAGTTGTGCAAGTTACACAATATTCCTTAGTTGTGGCTTTACAATAGCCGTTAGTTTCCAACAAAAATCTCCATGATAAATTCACATAGCATGTGGTATGAATATTTTACAAAACACCATTTAAATATAAATTCAAATAATAATAAATAAAAGGTTTCTTACCATTCTGATAGATACGCATAATATCATCCCGGAGATTGGTGCCTCCTGTAGTTACCATTACGCGTATATCTGTATGCTTGGCCAGCTCAATGCAAATTTGTGATGTTTGGAGCGCTAGCTCCCTAGTTGGTACCACAATTAAAGCTTGAATAGCATCTTTTTTGGGATCAACCTGTGTAAAAAACAAAGAATATTAATAGAATAGCAAGGTACATAGAAAAATAATTTGTAGATGTTTAAAAATATATCAGATTTGGTTTTATCACTTATAAAAAGTGAAGGGGAATCCAAAATATCTCATCATTTATAAGTGTGATGCTATGGTTAGTTACTTGCACTGTCAATAAAAGTAGGTAGGTAACAAAAAAAATTACCTGTTCTAAAACTGGAATACAATATGCGCCAGTTTTGCCAGTACCATTCTTAGCTCTTGCAAGTACATCTTTACCACTAAGTGCAATGGGGATAGAAGCCTCTTGAATAGGGGATGGTTTTTCCCAACCCTTTTCAAAAATACCCATCAACAGCTCACGTTTCAGGCAGAACTCTTCAAACTCATTACCTCTAGTATCTGTTACATCCTAAAATGCACACTGGTCATTAAAACTTCACACTTTCTAATTAGCAATTAACAATAATTTTATGAGGGTACTTTTGAAAACTTACACTGGTCTTTATTCTTCTGTCCTTTGGGGGTATTTTTAATTTTGATTTCCAACCGATGTCGTCGATTGTTTTATCGACGTCTCTGCGTAACACAAAGATAAGTCAGTAATGATTCCGTTACAACAAAAAAAAACAAAGATCACAATTTACATACCCCTTGTTCTGATTGCTCATGCTATTTCCAACGTGATTACTTGAACTAATCCTATTTTCGGTCATCATTTTGCCAAAGAATCCCACTAGGGATGACTAAAATTAGAAACTTATATTCACAAATCTTTGTCCAAGTCCAACACTAAACAAATTTTACGACAAGTCACTTTTAGAGACATAGGCTACTAGAAAAGTTTATCACGTTCACCAACTTATTCCGGGAATATCTGTAACAAAAATAATTGAAGTAATGAACATCAACGGTACTTTAGAACAGAGATAAACGAGACGCGTCAACAACCAATCCAATACATAGCTAAACATAGTAAAGGCAACAAATAACAATAAATAAGTTCAGTCAACTATTAGATTACGCGGTTACATTAAAGGTGTCAGATCATTATATTTACGTTTGTGTTAAAGAAAAACAAGGGATTAAGTTGATTCCAGTGGATAAAATTTATAGACCTGGACTTCCAAAATTTTAATATGGCTGCCTCGGAAAATATTAGTACCTTAGTACGCTATCTACGATAGGAAGTGTTCTGATAACACGATTTTCTTAAAAGATAGGTATTAACTACTGTGATACTTTAATTAACAAAATTGAGAAACAAATAGTCTAAACTTTATTACCTTGATAAAACTTTACAAAAGACGACACTCGATACTCGACGACGACATCACAAAGTAACCAGAGACAATAATATTTATTTTTTTTGGTGATAGTCAAACAAAACCAGAGATAAGATAAGGATAGAAAGCTAACGCTGTGAAGTGTCGTGTCTTTTTCAACAACATAAATTATTTTTGAATAACTTCTTGGTGTGTCAAAAATCTTTTTATTTCACTTTCATTATGCCTCTGTGTTTTATATTTTTAATAGTATTAATCATTATTTCCCAAAAATCTGTATATTTCAAATCGAAGTAGGATGTAGGAGCCACAGAACAAGTATATGGTTGGAGCCTTGGAGCTAGTGGAGCGGAGTAGAGAAGTTTTTTGAATTAACCAATGAACTGTCAAATGATAACGATTGCTTTACACAATTATTCCACCTCAGAGCCCCGATTATGGTAATTTTTACAATCCAGACGCGCTTTATCGATTCTGCGATACGATTGGTCAAAACACAAAAAAAAACACCTGAATGTCTCCAACTTCCTCATTGGCCCTAGAGCAATTCCAAGTATACCATCAATGAAAGCCTAATTAGAGTCATCAAACCTCTCAGTCATTCAATTAGAGCCATTAGAACTTCATAACTATGAGTTGTTTTCTATGTGTAAGCTGAGGACACGTGTCTCCAGCTGACACATCTGTATCTTCGTAAATATTTATGCTACGATAATGTATTATACCTCAAAAATTACAGTCGAATCCAAATAGTAGGCTTTCCACTTTTCAAGACTTTAGCTCAAATACTGTTAAAACCACGATCAAAAAACTATGTGCGAGCTGGAGTACCGTGTCTCCAGCTTACACATCTGTATCTTCGTAAATATTTAAGCTACATCAATGTTTTATATCTCATAAATTAAAGTCGAATAAAAAAACCCGACTTCAATTCTTTCAAAGCTTTATTTCGAACCGTTTTCGAACTACGAACCGATACGTATGTGTAAGCTGGTGACACGTAACACACGGTGGATTATTAAAACCGTATAAGTTAGAGTTGCGTTTTAAAGATCAAATAATTCGTTATAATTAAAGTACACACGAGACATAATTTCAAATCTCTAGTCAGCATTTGTATAAATCACATTAGGAACGCACAAATGCTTAATATCCTCTTGAATAACAGACTGACTGGAAATACCGAGTCCAGAAATAGATCGAGCCTTAGTTATTTCGTGCGTTTCCGATTCATGTTGGCCCTTAATATAAAAATCTACGTACTCTGTTTCAGCTAATTTTGACAGTCCACCCATACAGTCCAACCTGATTTTAGTCTTAGGTCCACAGGCTCCTATCTGGTTTGCCACTTCTGCATCAATAAACGTACTGGACGAGCCGTCATCGAGAAGAGCGTAAGTATCTACGGAACCTTTCGGGCCACTCACTGTTACGGCGATGACCTTCAGAAGTACTTTCAAAGGGCCTCCTGAAGCAGAGTGTGCAACTGTTTCGCTATTAGGATCTACTGGCGTGTAAGAACAAGATGCTTCGGGCTCTACATTGACAACATTTGTTTCAACAGTTGTGTGTGTATTTACTGACTCAGATTGGTGCAGAAGCTTGTGATGTCTATATTTACAACCTGAGATTTGGCAAAGAGTTTTTGGATTACACGACCTATAGCTGTGAGAACCTTTTTTCAAGCACCGAGTGCAAACTTTTTCCTTACGGACCCAATTTAATTTTGACATAATGTCTAGATGACAAAATTTTTGACAGTTGTCAATCAAATGTGGTTGTTGACAATAAATGCAATTTGGTTTACTATTTACAGATTGTGGATGATTATTTACAGATGGCGAAGAACCTATGGCTGTGGTGCAAAACGATTTGTTTATGGGCCGTTCAGATAAAGTGCGGACAGGTAACACGTGTTCCTGCGGGACACTGGGACCGGCGAGCAGGAGGGTTGGGTCAAGGGGCGCGGGAACCATAGAAACGGAACGGCCGGGATGCGCAGAGGTAGGCGCATCCCCGGTGGCAGCTCCAGGTAGTCCTAAAATAGGCACGTTAACAAGGGCAGATTTACCTGGGCACGCAGAAATAGGCGCGCCCGGAGAGGCAAACCTGCTGGTAGACGATGCCTGATTTGAAGGCGCCGTATCCTCTAACCACTCCGTAAGATTGCAGGTGCTGTGACGACTGGAGCGAGATCGGCTGAAGCTGGCTTCTATATGGGCGAGTTCCGCTTGCAGCTCAAGCTCACTCGCCACGGCTTCGGCAGCTTCTAACCGCGCTCTTTCTTCAGCGGCACGCACGCGTTCCGCTTCCGCGCGCGCTCGCGCTGCGTCGGCAGCTCTGCGAGCAAACTTAGCCTGCGCGGCGAGGGTGCGTGCACGAACTGTGGCCGATGAACGGGATGACAATCCTGTAACAGATGCCGCGTCGGCGGCCACCGCGGAGGCGGTCGCGACTGGTGCGGGGTCGGGTGCGGCAGCGTGAGGGGAGCCCCGAATGGGCTTCGTAGCCTCGGCCATACCCGACTGGCTTTGCGCTTTTCTTTGAGCCCGAGTGATTATGGCTGGTAAGCGAAAAAATTAAGGGAAAAAACTTTGCCGGAAGAAGGACCAAAAATGTTAGGAATTGGGATAAAAAGGGGTAAAAATGATACCCGGGCTCAGGGAAAGGGCTATATTAAGGAAATAAAGGAACATACAGGAATACAGGGATAAAGAAGCGACAGACAGATGACAAGAAGACAAACCATAGAAAAAAATAAAATTATAAAAACATAGACTTAAAAGGAGGCCGTTCGTAACATGGTGCAATCCAGCTTTAAACAATGTCATATTTGACACAAAAAAAAAAAATATTATGATTAACCAAAACATCTATTTTAATTTCACTATCTTCAATTTTCTTGCGACAAGACAACTCCTTCTCCAAACTGAAAAATATATTTTTTCCAAAATTCAAATTCAAAAAAAAAATTAAAAGTAATTAACTATCGCTACAAAAAGTCGCCGTGGACGAGGGCCCTAACATAATGTTAGACACCAAACCCATTTTAGTATTTAAACAGTCTTCTAATGATAATGTATGTTTGTATTCGTTCGTTCGTTTCAGCCGAAATGTTTGTATTAGCATCATAAAAAGTATCTCTTATGTACATTTCGGTGTTTACATTCACATAATAATATTACGTTTATTACCATGTTTCTGTCATCATTAACAAACGAATCACTCTTCTTATTACTAACCGGCTAAATCATACTATTCAGAATTGCGCATGGATTGGGATAATGTGTATAAAAATTCAAATGGCTAAAGAAATGAAAAAGGTTGATAGTACAACTTACACCGCATTTGACACTTTTTCTCCTTTATACCGGGTGTTAAAAATGTTTTGTTTTACAATCCTCAGCCGCGACAGTAAAAATTCTTTAATAGTATGTTTGTTGTTCCAAACAATTGCGTCTTATGTGACCATTACTATGCTGTTCATTGTAATTCTTTCATACGACGTTTATAATGTTGTTCATTATGATCTATTTCGAGAAACAAAATTTCTGTGCATGGTCAGAATAATCAATCTCGCCAATATTGTTGAATACCTCGTACATGTTGCTTACGTTTTTAAAAGTAGACATTTATGTATGTACTACTTTAAAATCTACGATCAAATAGACAACATAATCGGGCCATCACATAATAGCGTCATCAAAGCAGACATTTTTAAAATAACAGCTTGGGATATCACTACTGGTGGTATTCTCTTACTTGCTCTGTTGGCTTGCAACTTTCAACTTTTTGGAAACATTTACCTACACGTACGAATCTGTATTGAGTATACAATGTTTTCCATAAATACCTTTACATTAACAGACGCACGTGCAAACATTATTCATATTAAGTACAGACTAGGAACTATCAAGAATATGCTAGATGAAATTTATTCTCACACCAAAAATATATTCATATACAGTCCAAAAGAACAACTAAATAAAACCCTGTTGGTATCAAATAAACGTACTACAAATAAGAGCTTCAATATCATTTCTATTAGTAAGAGTTATTTGTTGCTGGTCAAACAAAACAATTTGATTAACGAAATATTTGGCATAAGGGTAAGTAGGTATACTCCGATTTAAAAAAAAAACAAATGGGCATTGAATTAATGATTCGTCTTATTTGCAGATTCTTGTGAATATTACGACACTTTTATGGAATATAATTCATGAAATTACTGGTGTAGTTCAAGTGTTTTACGATACAGCAGTAAGTTATAAAAATGCATTTAAATGAATCTTGATCCTACAGCCTGTCTGCTTATTTCCTGAAGTAATGCAAGCCTTCCATTACATTACATAGGCCTCTTGAAATCCTGCTGAAAACCAAATGACCTGATAATGAAAACTTTACGACGCAGACTCTCGCGCATTGGAATTTGATACCTTTTTTGCATTGGAATCTAATATTTTCAGATACCGTCTGGTGTGAACTTATTGATCAGTGTCACATCTGCATTGTATTTAGTAAGAAATGGTGTAATACTAACAAGTTTTGTTAAGTCTGCTGAAAATACAAATAAAGAGAGAGAAGATGTCATAAGCACTGTGGATCATATTCTCATTGAGAAAGATATCAGTAAGTACAGTACAAAAATTAATCACATAAGCGAGACAATAAATAATAAATAAATAAATTTTTTATTTATCTCTCACACACATAACATCAATTACATTGATTGATATTTACATTTAAGATGTTACACAATATTTATATTTAATTAATTAATCCTTAATTATGCTACACTGTGTGTGAGAGACTGGAGCCTGAGATAGGTTTCCGAAGAAACCCGTATTACAGGTCTCCAGAGCTCCCACCTCCAATTAGTGACCTGATTAATAACATTAATAAGATAAGTGATCTAATGTCTACACATGCAAGTATTATTTGGAAAGAAGTGTACATGCAATGAATGTGCGTGAGCAGAATATCAATTTTATTATAATGTGCGTATGTTTCAATTTATAAAACACCTTTACACTATTCTTTTAACCCTTTCAGACCTGAATTATTTTTTTTTCACCCGATCAATTTAGTAAAATTTATGCAACTAAAGT